TGTTTGTTTGTTTGTTTTTGGAGACAGAGTCTCACTCTTGTCACTCAGGCTGGAGTGCAGTGGCATGATCTTGGCTCACTGCAACCTCCACTTCCCAGGTTCAAGCGATTCTTGTGCCTCAGCTTCCTGAGTAGCTGGGATTACACACATGTGCCACACACCGGGATAATTTTTTGTATTTTTAGTAGAGACGAGGTCTCACTATGTTTGCCAGGCTGGTCTCGAACTCCTGAGCTCAAGTGACCCCCCCGCCTCCGCCTCCCAAAGTGCTGGGATTATAGATGTGAGCCACTGTGCCCGGCCTTTAAACCTTTTATATTGTAAAAAATAACACCTACAGAAAAGTGAGCACACAAATATGTAACTCAACGGTTTACCAGGAATCAAACAGCCATGTAACCAGCACCCAGGTCATGAAAAAGAACATCTCCAGCAGCCCAGAATTCCCCTGCCAACCAGGAAGGCCTTTCTCTTCCACCTAAGTAATCATTAACCTGACTTTTAGGAGAATCATGCCCTTTTTTTTTAATAGCTTTTCCACCTACACATGCATCCCTGAACATTAGTGGCTTAGTTTCACTGTTTTTTTTTTTTTTTTTTTTTTTTTTAATTTGAGACACGGTCTTGCTCTGTTGCCCAGGCATGAACCAATATGCCCTGACTTAGTTTTGCTGTTTTTTGAACTTTTACATATATGCAATCAAGATCTATTATTCTGTGTCTGGCTTCTTTCACTCAACATTATATTGCTGAGATCCACCCATTCCTATGCAAGAAACTATTCATACATTTTGTTGCCGTATAATATTTCATTGTATGAACAAACATGGCTACTCAACAAGGTCTGATCTGAGACCATATTTTAAAAGTAGATAACATCAGGCACAATACCAATTAGGTGGCTTGCTGAGGATGACCAAGATAGTAAAGATCTAGTTGCTTACACTAGAAAGAGAAGGCTTGGGGCAAAGAAGAAAAGAAGTCACAGCTATCTTACAATTTTTAAAGAGCTATTATGTAGAAGAGGAATTGAAACTATTCTCTGCACTTTTAGAGGGCAGAATTAGAACCAATAGGGAGATAGCATAAATAGGTATATTTCGGCCATCTTGTTTACTATATTCTTGTCCTTACCATCCCATAAAGTTGGAGATAACTCTGGTCAGATAGGCATGCTGTAGCAGCCCTAAATATAGATAAACTAAAATGATCTGCATGACTAGCTGCCTGAGCCAAAGCTTCCAAACCCAATAAAACGATACTAGAAATAATCCTTAGCATTCTCTGCATGCTTTCCTTCAAGAGAAACTTTTCAGTTGGAGCAAGCAGAGGCAAATCGGTAGGCTAGGAACTGTAGTAGATACTGACTAGTGTCAAGAGAACTAAAAGTGTGGAGACCTCTGAATTGAAAAATTAGGATGCCATTTGAGTTTCACACTAATCTTAAAAATCATTCCCTATACCAGATCATGTTGTGAATATTTCTAACAAAAAGGTGACCTTGAATATATAAAGTCTGAGGAAAAAAGAGCAGAAATTTCTTAGAGCTTGTGTGTGTGTGCACATGTATGTGCGCATGTGCATGCTTTTTGCCTTAGGGAGTTATAAAGTTCAAACCATATAAAGTAAATATAAACACTTTATAAACTCTTAGGTGCATTAAACTGGAAGATTAACTTAAAGAAAAAACAAAGTTTCAAAGAACTCTCAGAAGAATCAGCCTAAAGTTCCAAACCAGGGTTTAGGCTGAATGATTTTTCAGAAATGAAGTTCCTCAAAATTTCCTAATGAAATTCTTGGACAGAATTAAAGACATAAGAAGAATCCACCTCCAGAGAGGGAGTTAATTTCATGCATAATGAATAAACGCTAAAGGGTATACCATTATACTGAGAGCCTCAGGTCAAAATTTTGCTAAGAAAATAGCCTCTTCTAGTCTACCACCTCTTTAAATACACTGGAAGAGGTTTTCCTTTTATAGGCCCATCAAAGCACTAAATGGGTTGCCTGAGTGGTAATTGCAGAAATGGCTGATAACCAAAGTGGGTTTTGCTAACATTTCTTCCCCTAATCTAAGTGTACTGAAGAAAAAGGTATGGAACCTAGTGTTAATAGTGAATGGTAGGATAAAAAAGCTCTCCTAGAGCTTTCAAATTCATGTTAAGATTTGGTGGTGAACGGCCGGGCGCCGTGGCTCACGCCTGTAATCCCAGCACTTTGGGAGGCTGAGGAGGGCGGATCACGAGGTCAGGAGATCGAGACCATACTGGCTAAAACGGTGAAACCCCATGTCTACTAAAAATACAAAAAAAATTAGCCGGATGTAGTGGCGGGCGCCTGTAGTCCCAGCTACTCCGATGGCTGAGGCAGGAGAATGGAGTGAATGTGGGAGGCGGAGCTTGCAGTGAGCCGAGATCGCGCCACTGCACTCCAGCCTGGGTGACAGAGCAAGACTCCGTCTCAAAAAAAAAAAAAAAGATTTGGTGGTGAATTTGTAATGAGTACACTGATTTTAATTACCCCTCTTTCAATTTACTATCAGCCATAATATGATGCTTCATTGTGCTTATGAGCTAGCGGGGAATTAAGACTTAAAAAGGACACAATAGACCATCCTGGCTAACGCGGTGAAACCCCGTCTCTACTAAAATACAAAAAAAATTAGCCGGGTGTGGTGGCGCGCGCCTGTAGTCCCAGCTACTCGCGAGGCTGAGGCAGGAGAATGGCATGAACCCGGGAGGCAGAGCTTGCAGTGAGCGGAGATCGCACCACTTCACTCCAGCCTGGGCGACAGAGCGAGACTCCATCTCAAAAAAAAAGGACACAATAAGAAAAATTCATGTCTAACAGAAAAACAAAGTAGATGTGGTTGGGTGGGTTTTTTTTTCAAGGTTGGAGAAAACGAAAAGACCGTAAAAAATTTTAAATGTTACTAAATAGCTGCAAAATACAGAAAATTACAAAATATTGCTTTAATTTTTAAAAATCTAAATAAATAGATTAATATATTATGCTTATTGGTTAGAAAACTCATTATTTTAATGTTAATTTTACCCAAATTGATGTATAGGTTAAACACAATCTCAACAGAAATACCAGCAGACTCTTTTTGTGGAAAACAACAAGATGATTGGCCTGATTTAATCATTCCATATTGTACACATATACCAAAACAACACATTATACCCCATAAATATATACATTATGATTTGTCAATTAAAAATAATATCAATAAAATTTAAATTTATATGGAAAAACAAAGGTCCTAGAAAAGCCAATCTTAAAACAACAACAGCCGGGCGCGGTGGCTCATGCCTGTAATCCCAGCACTTTGGGAGGCCGAGGCAGGTGGATCACGAGGTCAGGAAATCGAGACCATCCTGGCTAACATGGTGAAACCCCATCTCCACCCAAAATACAAAAAATTAGCCGGGCGTGGTGGTGGGCGCCTGTAGTCCCAGCTACGCGGGAGGCTGAGGCAGGAGAATGGCGTGAACCCGGGGGGCGGAGCTTGCAGTGAGCTGAGATTGTGCCACTGCACTCCAGCCTGGGCGGCACAGCGAAACTCCTTCTCCGGGAAAGAAAAAAAAAAAAAGCTGGAGGGCTTACACTATCAGGTATCAAGACTTGTTATAATGCTACAGTGATTAAGACCATATGGTATTTATGCAATGATAGTCAAATAGACCAATGGAGCACTATATAGAATATAGAAAGAGAACCACCCATATCCAGTCATCAGATGTATGGTGAAGGCACCATTACAATTCAGTGGGAAAAGGTTAGACCACTTTTTATTAATAGTGATGGGTTAACTGGTTATCTATACAGAAAAGAAATGAACTCTCTCAAACCACACACAAAAATTAATTTGAGATGGATACTAGACCTAAATGATCTAGAACAACAGAGATTGGCAAACACTTTCTATAAAGGGCCAAATAGTAAATATTTTAGGCTTTGTGGCTCGTATGGTCTTTGTTACACTGACTTTGATGCTGAAGTGTGAAAGCAACCATAGACAATACATAAATGAATGGATGTAGCTATGATTCAGTAAAACATTATCTGGGCCACATGTGACCTTTGGGTTGTAGTTTGTCGACTCCTGTTCTAGCAAAACACATAGAAGAGTATCTTCTTGATCTTAGGGATAGGCAAGGATTTTTTAAGTAGGGCATCAAAAGTACTAACTAAATAAAAAATGATAAATTGGACTTAATTAAAATTAAGAACTTCTGGTCAAATGATCCCATTAAGAATATGAAAATTCAAGCCATAGACTGGGCGATTTCCGTAATATATATGACTAAGGACTTGTAGTTAGAATATGTAAAGAACTGGGCCAGGTGTGGTGGCTCTTGCCTGCAGCCCCAGCACTTTGGGAAGCTGAGATGGAAGGATCGCTTGAGGCCAGGAGTTCAAGACCAACCTAGGAAACATAGCAAGACCCCATCTCTACAAAAAAAAAGTAAAAAAAAAAAAAAAAAAAAAAGGAGCCAAGTGTGGTGGCACACGCCTGTAGTCCCAGCTACTCAAGAGGCTGAGGCAGGAAGATCACTTGAGCTCAGGACTTTGAGGCTGCAGTGAGCTAGGTTTGCACCATTACACTCCAGGTTGGGCAACAGAGTGATACTTTGTCTCTAAAAAAATAAATAAAAAATATAGAAATCTTACAAAACAATAGAAAGACAAAAATTCAGTAATAAAATAGGTAAAATACCTGAACAGGCACTTTACAAAAGAAGATACCCAGGTAGTCTCCGCTGCCTGCCAGCGGAGACAAAGCTCCTGATTCGCGGGGCACCTTTGTTGGGTCGGCGGCGTCAGGTATCCGCCGCGGCATGTGGTCGGAGTCGTCCTGCCCCTGGTGCACCCCCGCGGCAGGCAGAGCTCACGCTCCTGCCCCCCGGTTGGTGCTGGGTCTGGGCACCGCGTCGACGGCGGCTCCGCAGGACGCTCAGACCCGGCCGCAGCCCATTCCCTGAGCGGACTGCATTATGAGGCATCTGCCTTACTTCTACCCGGGCCAAGCGATGCGGGGCTTCGGCCGCGGCTCCAAGCAGCTGGGCATGCCCACAGCTAATTTTCCTGAGCAAGTGATAGATAATCTTCCAGCTGACATATCCACTGGCATTTACTATGGTTGGGCCAGTGTTGGAAGTGGAGATGTCCATAAGATGGTGGTGGGCATAGGATGGAACCCATATTACAAGAATACCAAGAAGTCTATGGAAACACATATCATGCATACCTTCAAAGAGGACTTCTATGGGGAAATCCTCAATGTTGCCATTGTTGACTACCTGAGACCAGAAAAGAACTTTGATTCTTTAGAGTCACTTATTTCAGCAATTCAGGGTGATACTGAAGAAGCTAAGAAATGACTAGATTTACCAGAACACTTGAAAATCAAAGAAGACAATTTCTTCCAGGTTTCTAACAGCAAAATAATGAATGGCCACTGATGAAAAATCATATTATGTATTCATTCACTGTTTTCTAGTGTTTCTGTGTTTATTACTGTCCAGCCTCATCTTGGTTATATACTAAAAATCAAACACTTTGCTACAGTTGTGAATTAGTTTAAACAGTACAATGTAGTTACCATACCATGCTTCAACTGTTAAATTAAGCCCATTATGTCATAGCACTAAAAAGATTCAGTTAAAAATCAAAGATTTAAAATATATATATTGATTAAAATGTACCACTAGAAAGGTATTACATGTGTATAAGTATGGGTAAAAAGGCAAGTCACTAGTTTGAGATAAAAACTAAAATTATCATGGTAAAATACCAGCATGTATGTTCTTGTATAGTGTGTACTTCTAAACAGAGGCTTATAAAAGTAAATGCATTAAGGCCAAGTGCAGTGGCTCACACTTGTAATCCCAGCACTTTGGGAGGCCGAGGTGGGAGGATTGCTTGAGCTGATGAGTTCAAGACCAGTCTGGGCAACATAGCAAGACCCAATTTCTATAAATTAAAAAAAAAAAAAGGAAATGCATTAAATAGAAGGTTGATAGTTTATCATAAACCTGCGGGGAAGAAACTCAGGCTTTGTATTTTTTATATTTTGTGCATTAATACATTACAAACATGAAGATGTTTGTAAAATTTTGTTGTAGTCATTTTCTTTGCAGTCACATCATTGTACCACCTTCATTATTGTATAGAGCTGCTTCAATTCTGAGTCCTCTGGACTTCCCCTGCCTATCTGCTTTTTGTTGTTATTGAAGACAGCAAAATAAGTGTTTTCAAATCTATATGTCTCCTTTTTGTTGGATAATGTTTCTTCTTTTTAAAGGTAAATATTCTTGTTATTCAACATTTTTCTTTGGTTCTTTTTTCCTTTTTGAGGAAAAACAAAACAACAGACTTCATCATCCTTAGGTTTTCTCAAGACTTAAGTGAACACATTTACACGTATCAATTGCTTAAAGAACACAAAATGTTTCTCCTCCCAGCAAAACTATTTAAGAGCCAATTAAACTATGAAATAGTTAGAGAATTATTTTTAATATTTAAGGTCTTGGAAATTAATTATATTCCAAGACAAATCTAAATGGGTGTAGTTGTATATGCACAATGTAATTTAATGCTAGTCTAAAGAGTACTTACAGCTTGAGGGAAAAGCATAAAGTTTTAGTTAAATAACCTTCATACTGTGGATTTTTCCTCCTACTAACTAATATGTAGGAAATTAAGATTACAGATTGCTAGATCACACCACTGCACTCCAGCCTGGGCGACAGAGCAAGACTCCATCTCAAAAAAAAAAAAAAAAAAAAATTACAGATTGCTTTGGGCCCCCTCAAACAGTACATTGCATCATTGTTCACTGTAGCAACAGATTTGGTGGTGATGGGGGGATAGAGGTAGAAGCAGATAGAAGGTAATTTTAAAGTTAATTTATTATGAATCACTTTCCCCCAATCTGCATAAATGAATTAGAACTGATTTTAATAAAAATGCTTTGTTTTGTATAAAAAGTATTCAGAAAAACATTTAAAGCTGTTGGAGAAGAGGGACTGATATAAATACAGTTGGATTTTGTTTTGCTTACTTTTTAGAAATCTTATACTTGAAAGAAGCCTCAATTATCAGTGGCTTTACGAAGTAAAGTTAAAAACAAACATGGGAAATATAAAAATATTTGTGTTTTGTCTGGCTAGCTTGCTGTTAAATGCTCTCTTTAGGTGTGTGAATATGTTATTTTCCCTTTACATCTTGTGAAATAGCCATTGCTTTTGAGAATCAAATAGTGTGTTGTTTAGGGGTTGTGTCTATATTTTTCAAAAACTTTTATATTATGTATTATAAGAAGTTACAGTAGTACCATTTTGATTAGTTTGAATGTTTTCAGGCCTTGAAATAAATTTTGACTAAGTGATTAAAAAAAAAAATATATCCATATGGTCAATAAGCCTATGAAGAGATGCTCACCATCATTAATCATCAGGAAAATGCAAACTAAAATGACATTGTGATACTACCATACATCCAACATAATGGTTAAATTAGACAGACAAAATCAAGTGCCGATGAAGATATAGAGCTATTGAGACTGTCAAACATTGCTGGTGGTGATGTAAATAAACATATAATCACTTTGGCAGTTTTTACAAAAGCCAAACATACATCTCATTCTATGACCAAGAAATTCCACTCCTGCATATGAACTCAACCAAAATGAGTGCTTATGTTCTATGAAAGATATGTACAAGACTGTTCATATCCATTTGGTTCATAATTCAAAAACTGGAAACTCAAATGTTTTTATACTCTAGAATGAATAAACCAATTGTAGTAAATTGACACAATGGAATTAGTACATAGCAGCTAAAAAAAAAAAAGAAACTACTAGAATGTGCAATGACATGGATAAATCTCAAGAAAATAATGCTGACTGGGTGCGGTGACTCATGCCTGTAATTCCAGCACTTTGGGAGGCCAAGGCAGGCGGATCACCTGAGGTCAGGAGTTCGAGACCAGCCTGCCCAACATGGCGAAACCCCATCTCTACTAATATTTATTAGCTAAGCACAGTGGCACATGCCTGTAGTCCCAGTTACTTGGGAGGCTGAGGCAGGAGGATTGCTTAAGCCCAAGAGTGCAAGACCAGCCTGGACAATATAACAAGACCTCATCTCAAAAAAGAAAAAGAAAAATATTTAAAAAGACAATATCAATTTAAAAAGAAAAAAAAAAAGGTCAATGGTCCCATTGAACACTTCAAGAAAAATGTATGTTATCCCAGCATTCAAATTAGATAAGTAAAATAACTGCTTCTCTCTCAAATTGATAGTTGCAGGAAAGACTGCTATTGCCCATTAAATCTTCCTCTAAAAAGATTATTTTGCTTTTGTTTTGCTTAGATATTTTTGCTTTGGATGTGGTATCCAAGTATAATAAAGCAGAAGAGAGAACTTTCTTCCTACTCCCAGATATTAGTTTATGCCATACAGACATCATATATTTTTCAGAAGATTTGCTCTGACCCAATTCAGGATACTCTGTTTTTGGCAAATAATCTGAGTAAAAATGCCATTCCTCACTCTGTGAGTGTGTGTATATTTATACAGTTTTTAATTTCCCTGGGAGTACTCATACTCAGTTTGAACAGCATGCCTTTGAATAGCCAATCTAGTCACAATGGCTAATTGACAGGAAAAGCCTTGAAGTGCTCAAAGGGATCACAGATCCTTTTATTTCGCGATGAGCAAAGAGATCCTTAGAGCTAATTAAATTGTGATCCTAATATTCTTCCCTTTCATTATTAGCAGTATTTGGCCTTGATTTTTTTCCTGGAGCATGTGTATTCAATTAGGGGTGAGGGAAACACATGTTTTTTTTTTTCTGTTTTTTTTTTTTTTTTTGAGACGGAGTCTCGCTCTGTCGCCCAGGCTGGAGTGCAGTGGCCGGATCTCAGCTCACTGCAATCTCCGCCTCCTGGGTTTACGCCATTCTCCTGCCTCAGCCTCAGGAGTAGCTGGGACTACAGGCGCCCGCCACCTCGCCCGGCTAGTTTTTTGTATTTTAGTAGAGACGGGGTTTCACCGTGTTAGCCAGGATGGTCTCGATCTCCTGACCTCGTGATCCGCCCGTCTAGGCCTCCCAAAGTGCTGGGATTACAGGCTTGAGCCACCGCGCCCGGCCGGGAAACACATGTTTTACAAAACAAAAGTGGTCATTATTCTCAACTTCAATAAGAGTGTATTTTATCTTTTATCATTAAAAGAAGAATCAGTATTTTTACCAGGAGTTTTCAAATACATTTTTCTTTGAAGAAAGTTCTGGTGTGTTTCAATTGTTCTAAATTAAGATTAAGCTCCGGGCAATAATTCAAAACGTTTAAATTATATATAGTGATTAGTTTTAATTTTCACTGTGGGAAAGTGGTCATTGTAGACAACATTAATTTGGTAATGTTAAAGCATTAAGTGGAGAGCAACATTTCAATTTTCCTCACCCTGGTGTGATTTATTACATTATAGCCCATACTTGCAGTATCTATATTATCTCCTTCAAGGTATTAGATCTTATGATACTACTAATCTTAAAAAAGAGGTATTTTTCTTAAGAGAGTACCAGGCACTGGGCGTGGTGCTCACATCTGTAATCCCAGCAGTGGGGGCGGGGGGGGTGGATCACCTGAGGTCAGGAGTTCGAGACCAGCCTGGCTAACATAGGGAAACCCTGTCTCTACTAAAAATACAAAAATTAGCTGAGTATGATGGCACGTGCCTGTAATCCCACCTACTTGGGAGGCTGAGGCAGGAGAATCACTCGAGCCTAGGAGGTGGAAATTGCAGTGACCCAAGATTGCACCACTGTACTCCAGCCTGGGAGACAGAGTGAGACTCTATCTCAAAAAATAAAATAAAGAGGCCGGGTGCGGTGGCTCATGCCTGTAATCCCAGCACTTTGGGAGGCCGAGGCGGGCGGATCTGGAGGTCAAGAGTTTGAGACGAGCCTGGCCAACATGGTGAAACCCCGTCTCTACTAAAATACAAAAATTAGCCGGGTGTGGTAGGGGGCACCTGTAATCCTACTCAGGAGGTTGAGGCAGAAGAATCACTTGAACCCGGGAGGCGGAGGTTGCAGTGAGCCGAGATCGCACCACTGCACTCCAGCCTGGGTGACGGAGCAAGACTCCGTCTCAAAAAAAAAAAAAAAAAAAAAAAAAAAGTACAAGGAGCAGCTTGCAATACCATATGATTTTATTCTCAAAATGGTATAATGAAAAAAACCCATAGAATCTGGTGTTAGTAGATCTGAAAGGTAGACCTGACTCCATTATGAATGACTTTGTGTGAATTATTCAATCTTTCAGAGCTTATAGTTTCTTCAACTGTAAAATAAGACTATTATAATAATGCCT